TAATATAACAAAAAAAATCAAAAAATTAAAAACTAACTTTCAATCCAAAAGCCAAAATAGGCAATAGTTGATATGATGCGGAGAACACAATAGTGATAAAACTAAAAATCTCGTTTGAGAATATGTTATGTTAGTAATATTTTAATTTTTTTCATTAAAAAGTATACAAAAAAAATAAAAAGAATAATATAACAACCTATAATAACCTTTTAACTTTTTAATTAAAACATATAAGTCTTGTTTGGTTTGTTTTTTAGAAACAAATTTTGGAGAATTTTTTTTTAAATTTTGTTTAATTTAGTTTACTTAGAAAAAAAATTCAAAATCACTTTTCTATCTACTACACATCAATCAATCATGTTTTCTCTTTCCTCTCTTTTTCTCAATCACATATTCTCTCACACACATTTACTTAACTACAATAAAATATCAAATCATCCTAAACTCCAAAACTCTAAAATTATTTTCAAAATATACAATCAAACAAATTTCTAATTTTCTAAACTTTCTCTAGAAAATTATTTTGGAAATACAGATAGTTTTCTGCGACCAAAAAAGCCAAAATTTATCCCGCCATAACTTTCCGCGACCAACTTTTTTTTTTGGTCGCCAAAGGGTAATCTTCCGCGACCAAAAAAGCCTTTGGTCGCCAATAGTATGCTTTCCGCGACCAACTTTTTTTTTTGATCGCCAAAAGGTGATCTTCTGCGACCAAAAAAGCCTTTGGTCACCAATAGTATACTTTCCGCGACCAACTTTTTTTTTTGGTCGCCAAAGGGTAATCTTCCGCGACCAAAAAAGCCTTTGGTCGCCAATAGTATACTTTCCGCGACCAACTTTTTTTTTTTGGTCGCCAAAGGGTATACTTTCTGTAACCAACTTTTTTTTTGGTGGCCAAACGGTGATCTTCCGCGACCAAAAAAGCCTTTGGTCGCCAATAGGTATACTTTTCGCTACCAACTTTTTTTTTGGTCGCCAAAAGGTGATTTTTGGCGACCAAAAAATTGTGGTCGCCAAAAGTTAAATTTTGGTCGCAAAAAGTGGACTATTTGTGACCAAAAAAAATAGGTGGTCGCCAAAAGTGTTTTTTCTTGTAGTGAATGAGCGAAAATCGAAATATCTATTAAGTAAGTACATAGTCTCATGGTAGCATGCTAGACAAAATAAGAAAGAATACAAAAGCAAGATGTAAATAAAAGGGAAGAAACTTACCTAGTACTCCTTAGCATCAAGCCAAGTATGAAAGGGATTAGAGAGACAAAAAAATATGCATAATCTTAGACGCAAAAGTCTATAAATGCAATAACTCATAAAATGAATCCTATGAACCCGTTTGCCACTAAAATTTCATGTGAATCATCTCATACATGGAAACCATCTCAATACATATAATCGACATAACAAGATAGCAACAATAATAAAACACGATGTACCGGGCTTAAAAAGTACGAACTAAGCTATGATCATGAAAGATAGACATGAGATAAGAGAACGAATGAAAATGGTGAATAAATATATAATGACTAAGATCTACCCATTTACATATGAAAATAAGCCAAGATCTCACCTAAGAAGGGAGCTAAAGGCTCAAAGTCATGAAACATGGAGTTGAGGCAAGTAGATCTCAGCATTATCAAAGAGCACAATAACAAAACAAAAAATAAAGGGAAAGAAAATAAACGAGAGGGAAGTGATTGGAATCTCCCTCCAACACATGAAAATAAACATGTAAAAGTCTAAATCCATGAATAGTGGTTTTGTGGAGATAGATTCCATTATTTCACCAAGAGCAAAACTAAGAACAAGAAACAAATGCTACTCTACTTAAAGGAAAGCAAAAAGAAGAAAGGGAAAGATAGATAATGAGGTGAATTTTGTGATGACCTGGTCTTTATTTTCCTTCTTTTCTTTCCTCTTCACTTCGTCTCTTTTGGTCTCATTGTGTTTGAAACGTCTGGAAATAATTCTCAAAATTAAGTCGTTGTCCTGGTTTTCGCTCAGTGTTAAATTTTACTAGTTCCGGAGAGCGTGAGGTCAGGTACGGAGTGCCCGAGAGTTGAACCAAAAAATTTTCTGAGCTGGTTGGCTAGCTGCACCTGCGGGGGTCTTGGGCCTCACGTACGGGAGAGGGGCTGCACGTGCCGGAGGCTAGGCCGCACGTGCGAAATTCAGGGGAGATGGGAGGCCCCACACTGCCTAAAAGGCACGTGTGGAAGAAGGTGCAGGAGAGGGCCACCGCACGTGCAGGGATGAAGGCCGCACGAGCGGGAAGAGGCGCTCCGCATGTACGGGGAAGGCGCCACACGTGCTGCAGCCTGGGCAGTCCGAAACTCTGTTTTTTTCCCTCTTTTTGTCCAAATGTATCTCTCATTTTAGACATTTCTCTTTCACTCTAAACCCTATTTTTCTCCTCATTCTCTCTAGAAAACCTCCGCAACTACTTAAACTCTTTGATTCTTGCAACCCATTGGGGTTTAGATCATCATTACCATCCTTTTCTAGCATTGAAGGTCAAGCTAGAGCTTCTTTTGGTGTGGTAGAGGTTGAAGAGTCTCCCATCAAAGCTAGGGTTTCATTCTATTTCTTCATCAAACCTTGAGGTAGGGACATTCTTGAGTTATATATACATGTTTTGCAAGATTAAAGGTTGATTTTGTGTTTCTCATGAATTTGTTTGATAGTTGGGTTATGACTCAAGGGTGTAGAGATTTTCCAAAAGAGGGTTTTATACTTTCAAAAGTTTCTAGGTCAATCCTTGAGGGTTTCATCTATTTAACTTAAGAAAAATGTTTTGGATAGGAATTCATCAAGAAAAATGGAAATGTTTGGTTTTATGATGAAAAAACCCTAGAAATTGAGGATTTTTGAAAAAGATAGAAATGTGACTATGAAACTCTTTATTTTCTCGTGTCAGGAAAATGAGGGAGAGTAAACTTCATCTTATGTTTAGCAAAATAATCATCTACATGATAAATGAGAAAAGAGATGTTGTATTAACATTATTACTAAACACTTGAGCATGTGTTGTTGTGGTGTGGTTAACTGTTGTGCACCATAGATTGTGGGAATTGTGAACATTGGAGATTAATATCGGAAAGTGTTACATATAATTTTGAAAGACTAAAGTGTTAAAACTTGAGAAATGTGAATGTTGACATTATTGTAGAGATATTTGCCAATGGAGGAATGTTATGAGGTATGGAAATTCATTGTATGGCATATTCATTCACTTGTTTTTATTATGCATTGTGAATTTAGATTGAAAATATTTATTTCATGAAAGAGGAAGGTATTGTAATAAGAACTATGGAAATGTGTATGGGGTAAATACATGGTAAGTTCGGATAAGGGGTGTAGTTGAACTTGATAAGTTGGCCTGAGTGTCCATGGTGAAAGACCAGAAAACCGCGCAGATAGGTGTCGAGCCTTCCGGTTAATACCGGTAAAAATGACAATTTGGTAGTACTTGTAGAGTTTACCTGCAGACACCAGTCTAGGGATTACCAATGTCGTATTTACCGCCCCTATTGATTAAAAGAATTGGAAGTTTTGAAATTGATGAGATTGCATAAGATTATTGGTAACACGGGGATTTTCAAAGTTGTGCATTAAAGTTGAAGTCCTTTCATTAATGACATGGCATGGCAGCATATTTGCATATGTTGTTGAGAAATTTCGCATAACTGTATATACTTTGTAAGAATTGTCTACTGGGCTTTATGCTCACCCCTATGGGATTTTGGTACAGGTAAAGATGTGGTGATCCCACCGAATTGATGGCATGTATATGATTGTGAAGAGTAGATTACTCTTTTATTTTTGTTGTAAATTTTTTGTAAAGCCAAGAGCTAATGTGTATGGGTCTGAAAGACCATTTTGTGTAATCGGGCTATTGCCTTGGAACTTGTAAGCCCTTGAGAGCCTATTTGTTTTGATTGAATGATTTTACATGCTATAGATTCATGTACTAGTTTGCCAATGAATGTATAATCGCATGTGAGATTACTTTTGTATAATTTTTGGAACTATGTAAGGAAACATGGTGAATGTATCTTTCCGACATCTCTTGAGCCATGGTTATTATTTTAGTTGGAAGTGGGTTGATGTATTATGCATGTTGGGTCTTTTTGGGGACGTTACAAATTTATTCCAAAAGAACATGGAAAAAAGGCATTTGGAAAAGCAAAGGCCTCAATCCATGAAAGGAAACATGAGGGAAATAGATTTAACCCATAATCTGAGAAAACTTAATAAGCAAGATAATGTAAGTTAGAAAGTATAAATGGACTGAATCTACTCTCTACACGTGAAAATGAGTATGAAATACCCAAATCCATAGAATGATGGTTTTGAGAGAGTAGGTTCAAGTATCTTCCAAAAAAACTAAGCTACTAATCAAAAAAATGAAAGCTAGAGGAAAGAGAATGGAAGAAGTCTCACTATCTACTAATGGAAATGAGCATGAGATGCTCAAATCCATGTAATGATAGGTTGAAAGAGTATACTCAACCATTTTCAAATGGAAAGAACATGTTTGGCTTCCAAAAAATGCAAGAAAGTGGTAAAAAAATGAAGATAATGGAGTTAAAACCATTATAAATAGGATTTGGCTAGAATCCTAACTATACAAGCCAAAGATACAACTAAAAGGAAAACAAATGCAACAATATAAAGTGTTTGGTTACTGAGGAAAGGAAAGAAAGTTCTAAGAAAATGAATATAATGCAACTCAAGCAATATATGGGGGAATAGGCAAGTATCCCCAATCTATTCAAGTTTAACAAGCTATATACTCCAAAGATCACAAGAGATAGAGAGTGTTTGAGAGAAGAGAAAATAAAAGAAAACGAAAGAAAATGATCAAAGATATAGATTTACCTCTTTACCAAAGCTCTAAGCAACTAAGAATCAAGTCCAAATAGTAGATGAGTCTTTTCAAGCTTTCCTCAAGTCTCCAGTGGTGCTAAAAGTCCTCCAAGTTTAGCTATGGATGAAAAGAGATGGGAGTTGAGTATATATTTTAGCATAAATTGAGTTGTGTGTGTGTGTGTGTGTGTGTGAGAGAGAGAGAGAGAGAGAGGAAAGACCCTTTTTCTCACACAAATGTGTGCATATATAGGCCAAGGGATCCTCTGGAATATGCCATTTCCCATGGATAACCGGAGTATATGCGAATAGAATCTTCTAAGATGTTTGAGGGACAATCTTCTAGAAACTATTCTGTCATGCATGACTTTTGCGGCCACATATAATTCCTACGGGTGCAGGGAACAAAAAAGCTATGGCTAGGACAAAAACCTGTGACTCAGCTATTTCGAGAGTATTCTTCATTCTTTCATTCATTTCAACTTTGTCCTCGCTTGTTTTCTAGAATAAACATGTTTTTCATTTTTTGAAAAGAGTCTTGAAAACAATTTCGAAAATCATTTTTAAAGGTTTGAAAACATTTTGGCTAAAACAGGTTTAGGGTCGGGAGTCTCTCTCTATCCAAAAGTTGTTCCAAGTGGATCAAAAGCATTCATCTTTGTTTCATCATCGAGAGGCTTTGGAAGGCACCCACCTTAAGACTGGTAAAAAATGGAATAATGTCTACACTCTTAAAATCATATTAGCATTATTGTTTATGGTGGTCCACAGTGGTTACAGTCAAGGGTAGAGGAGGATAGAAGAATAAGTGATGACTCATGAGGTAAGGAGATTGAGTTTGTTTTAAGTGAGTTATGGACATGTGGCGGTACAAGAATGATAGTTTTTTTAATGAGCACGTGGTGGTTCAAGAATACCGGGATATAAAATTGGTACAGAGTGTTGGGAAGAGGATCCCAAGTCACTAATTTAACCCTAATAAAAGATAGGCAGGATAGAGCAATTGATTCTGTTCTTTCGATGTCATTGAAAATTAAAGTGTCTTGCACCAGCTAAATGATTTGTAGTTTTCTATTCTTGCTAACTAATTTAACCCCTTTTTTTTCAATCGATATGAGAGTAATTATAAATATAAAAAATATTACATCAAATAAACCAGCTATAACTAGAAAGCTAATAATCATCAAGCCTAACAACAATGAATAGCTAAATGCAAATAAAGCGTTCTTGTTTAGTATCAAATTTGAGTTAAGAAGTACTTTAAAAAAGATGAAAAAATTAAAAAAAAAAATTGTTATGAAATCAATGAAAAGTGTTACGAAATTTGTTTTGTGTTAAGCTCAATTTTAAAAAAATCTTTTTTCTTATTCCATAAGGGTATTTGTTAGCAAGATCCTAAATATATTTAGGATTTTCATGCATTTATGGTTTAATCTTTATAATTGTTACCTTTTTGAGGATGTGTACCATAACATGGCCCTTGTTATAACATAGAAATTTTTAAGAAATTAGAAATAATCAGAGATGATTTGGAAGAAACTATAAATTCACACCTTTAAAACAGTTATCAAAAATTGAAATTTCAAATTGTGAAACTTCATACTTTCAAACTAGAAAATTATGAACTTTCACTTTTATTCTTGTTACATAATTCCATATTTCAATAGAGATATTTGAAATTATACATAAAAATGATAAATATACACCTTTTGAGTTCAAAAACTATGAACTTTCGGTCTTTTAAAAATAGTTTTGAAACTGTTAAATTTTAGGTTTTCAAAGTTTTCAATTTAGAACTATGAAATTGAGGATTTACACTTTTGAAACTGTTCATTTTGGATTAAACAAAGTGTAAAATTTAACTCTCTTTGACATGATTTCATGAATCTCTATTGTGTGAATTTTCACTTTTTGAAACAACTTCGAAAGTGTAAAATTTCAAAAAGCATGAACTTTCACAGCATCGGACCCAAACTCTCTCTCTCTCTCTCTCTCTCATTTTAAATATTTTCATATTCAAAATTTTATTTGATAGATCTCATCAAGTAAGTCTCAATACAAATTTTATCTAAAACAAATATATACAACGAAAGTAATGTAATTTTGAAGTTTGAAACATAAAAAATAAAGTAGTTGTCACGAATAAGTGTAAAAATGTACCCAAAAAAAAAAAAGAAAAAGAAATTGTCAAAAATTTGGAAAAAAAATGACTTAAACCTTCAAACAATGTATAGAATGGGACCTTGTGGGTTGACAAAAAAGTGATGGGATCTAATTGGAAATAAGTGCACATGCGGTAGGATTTTTCACTAATTTTTAAAAAATAAAAAACTATACCAAAGAATTATTTTATGTCTAATGTGTGCTTGCTCCACCGTAGAGTGTATTTAGGTATTAAGTGGATACTGATAATTAGTTTTACTAGTAATGATCAATTTAGAAGTGTCATAAGCACGGGTAATTTTTGTTTTTGTTTTTTTTATATTTTTTATTATTGAGATTGTGTACTGCCATGGATTTTTTACACCTAGATTTGAGTGTTTTTGATGCAGGGAATGGTAATAGAATGAATACTCGAACACAAAAAATAATTATGAATTTGATAAAGAAATGACTTTATCCCTTACTATATTATTGATTCTCCAAAATCGATTGATTTGTCCTAAAGCGTACATGTCAATATATGCTAGAGAAAATCTAAAATAAAAAAGGAAAATCAAATCTTAAGATAATTACTTGCTAATCAAGTCAAAATAAAATAAATTACCAAAAATGAAAATATTTGAGTTATGCTCAAATTGGGATACTGTAATGAAAAAGAAACATACTAGAAAAACTTAGGCAAAATTTGATTCATCTAGATCAAGTTAAAGATTAATAAAATATTTTCAAAAATGACAAAATTGCAAAATTAATGGCATAAATGTTAGAATTCACTCAAAATCCATCATAGGTCACAACAAAGTGATGGGGGGTTCTGATCGTTATGATATTTTTCGTGCCTCGACAAATTTCACGCCATTTAGAGCACGTGATGTCTTGCGTCTACTGGTCTTTTTGCAATTACCTTACTTGCCCATAAATTTCAAAAATTCTATAATCAAATGCTATGAATCAGTTTTGGATTTGTCAAATTGTTAGTAGATTAAAGGAGTTGCACTTACCCCCACCCCAATTTCACTATATTGGATTTGATGAAAAACTTACATTAATTTTGCTAATTTGTAAAAATTTAACTTTCATGATTATAAACTTTATATCCCCCCCCCCAAAATTTCACTATATTGGATTTGATGAAAAACTTTCATTAATTTTGCTAATTTGATGAAAAACTTTCATTAATTTTGCTAATTTGTAAAAATTTAACTTTTATGATTATAAACTTCATATTGAATTCTTGAGTTATTCACAACCTCAACTTGGATTATTTAATTTATATTATACAATTGATTTTCTTAAACATCTTGTATTTATTTGCTAAAAAAAATTACGGCACATATATTTGTGTGTTTTTTTTTTTGGGGGTTGATAAGTCATAAATTAAAGACAAATTTACACATTTACAAGGATATACCCCAGGTAACGCAACGAATCACAACATCCCCTCCCCAGGAGAGAACTAATAATAAAAAAAATAACTAATTAAAACAATCCCGTAACAATCCGGTCCTCAACAAAACAATTTTTGTGGTAGAGGACCACAATTTTTGTGACTCAAATGGCTCAAAACTGCCAAAACGACGTCGTTTTAAGCACAAAACATGCCAAAACGACGTCGTTTTGACAGTTTTGAGCCATTTGAGCCACACAAATTGTGGCTCTCAAACATTATTCATAATAAAACCAATATTATCCATATATCATTTTAATCCCCAAGTACCCTCTACCATCCAAAAAAATAATAGATGGATACTAGGAAAGATATATGGACAATTGTACAGCAGTGATAAATAACCCACCAAAACAAATTAAGGCTTGGTTTGGGAAGTAGGTTGGCTTTTTGACTTTTTGGCTTTTTTGACTATTTTAGCCTGGGCTAAAAAGCTTGATTTGGGAAGGACTTTTTGGCTTTTTGGCTTTTTTGACTTTTTTTGTGAGAGAAGAATGTAATGATTATAGGTTGGATGTGATGTTTTGTTTGTTATGGCTAAAATAGCCTATTTTATTTTTTGTGGCTAAAATAGCCAAAAAAACCTGAAAACCATCTTGCCAAACAGAGGCTAACAAAACCAAATGGGACCAATTAAAACCTACAGACCGTGGGCCCCAGAAGGCAAAACAACAGCATATGGATCCAAACAAAAGGCAGCTATTTAAAAAATAGAGTAATGATTCATCCCCTTTTTCCCTCACCCCTTTTGACCCCCTCTCTCTTTCATTGATTACTTTTTTTTTTTTTCATTGATTTCTTTTTTTTTTTTTTTTTTTTTTTCCTGCTCCTCCAATCACCCCTTATTACGTGCCAAAAAGAAGGTCCCAAGCATTATTCTAAAAAATAAAGCCATCATTTGAATATTAGTTGGCCCACATCAAACACCAAGAGTCTCAAAACCATGTGCTGGTTTTGATCAAAATCGTGGGCCAAATTACCACCCACGTGGATCCACCACCCCATGTACCAACATCAATCAGCTCAACTTCCAATCAACAAAGCAGTTCGGCGGGAATTTGAAAGTTGAAGATGGAAACAATACACAACCACGTGGATACACAACCAAACACGACGCGCCACAATGAATCAGCGCGTGGCTATACATCATCGTCACCAACTGGACGGCGTGAGCACCTCATCAACCTCACTGCAGCATCGGCACTACAAAACCAGGCCGTCGCAGGAGAAAATCAGTCCAACGCCGGAGAACCCAGCGACGGCTCAACCCCGGAAAAAGCAGGCACCGACCATATCGCCACCAACGGCCGGAGCACACTAACCCATATACACCTGTCTCTCACTAGACCAAAAGCCAGCCGTCGGAAAGACAGGAGCAGACCACCAATCATCAACCGGCACTGGAGAGCTCCGGCACAAACTCGATCATGGCTTTGGCAAAAATGACCAACGCTAGAGAAGGAACACAAACCAGTTCACCAAAGCCAGTGACTACAACACAACACATC